TTTTTTTTTAATGGAAATCACCTAATAGCACAAATTGATTTTTGTACAATATCCTTGAGATCCACATCTTTGTTGTTACATTCTGGCAAACCGGTTGGTGGAAAAACTTAATTAGGACCTTTACTAAATTGCTGTAGAATTAATGATGGATTGACCCTATAGGTTTTATAGGCTTTTTGCTCAATCTACGAGTTAGAATTAGAGTCTCTATAAAATGTTCTTTCCTCGTTCTGCGAGCAAAATCTTTCCAAGAAATTTGCCTTGTAATATTTCTGAAGCTACTCGAACATGAAGTGAGCTTTCTCTGATATTCATGTAAAGCACACTTCTTTTGCTTGAAATATTTGTAAGCCATTTGAATACCCTGCTTTCTTTATTCCTATCCTTAATTGGTTAGCAATAAAACAGTTAGCTCTATGATGCTGATCTAGTAGGAACTCAGGCTTTAATTTCTTTGTAGCTGCTTTATTTCCATGATGATGTAAAGTGCCTTTGAACAAAGTTTATCTCAAACAAGAGTATGGTGATTTCTCTCAGGCATCTGAATGCTCTTGATGATGCTGTTATTCGCACAAAATGGTTGAACTGCAAAAAGGCCATTTCGGAGGAAATAGAAATAGTTAAGCAACTTGATGCAGAAATAAGGGCCTTCAAGGAAATTCCAGGATCGAGGAGGTCCTCATCTCCACCACTTCCTACAAAAGCCTTTGTTTTCCAACCATTGGATGAATATCCAACATCAAGCGCTTCCTTGGATGATCCTGATGTGTGGAGACCACCTAGTCGAGATAACCCACAATATGGAAGTAGAAGATCAACTAGGAGCAGTCCAGCTAGTGCACGGAAGTCTTCAGATGCAACATGGGCACGCGGTTCATCTAAGTCTGGAATTGCTGGCCGCGGTGCCAAGTCTAATGCAAATAAAGGTAGCTCAGGTGTTAGATCCTCAGCTTCCTCTGGGTTGACAGGGAAAAAAGGCAAATCAACTAGCAAGTCAGACTCGCAGGTTATTTCTCATTTAATTATTTTATTTATTTTGTTTACAATTTTTATATCGGTGTATGATTATGAATTGTTTGGTTATTTTTATTTTTATATCTTAATACTATGTCTATTTATATTCATGGACTAGCTATTTACTAATGTTTTTTGTATTTGGTTTCTGATTGATTTAGCTTTTTCAGGGTGATGCTGAAGAAGGAAAGATAAAAAAGGGACAATATGAAGGGCCTGATCCTGATTTGGCTGCAATGCTAGAGAGGGATGTCTTGGAGACAAGCCCAGGTATAAGATGGGATGATGTTGCAGGACTAAGTGAAGCCAAAAGACTGCTAGAAGAAGCTGTTGTGCTCCCTCTATGGATGCCTGAATATTTTCAGGTACATCAATTTGGTTCAGGGTCGAGCAAGGCAACACTACCTTTTTTTCTATATTTGCAAGAATATTTTGTTATTAAATGGTAAGCTGTTGTTTGATTATAAATGATATAATTTTACCATTTTCGGCATTATTTTGTGAAGTTGCACAAATGTGTGACTTTGTATAACATAATTCATGTTAAATGTGCTGAAGTCATATTTCATATTAGGACTATAAGGACATCTTTTTATATTCCGAGTGAAGCATGTGATCTTTAACTATTGTTTTGTAGTATTACGTAAATGGAGGACTATAGTACATCTTTTTCATTTATTGAGTTCCG